AAAAATAATAATTATTAAACCATCTAACGAGTCTTGGAGCTGCGCGCCGGCGGTTTTTTATGGGACAGATGGGTTACGCCCCCGAATGAATATTGATAAGCACCAGAAAAACTACACCCAAATTTATCATTATATGCCTATGCATTAGCATGGTATGGGCCGTTTTTTTTAGGGAACATAAATTACATATTGGAAGCGAATTATTTTGAGATTTGAGTTTTGAGTCATCATTTGTGACTCGAATAATTGACCATATCTACTCAAAGTTTATACGAGGAACAAAATTTTCGAATATTCAGGCAAAGGTTCTCTTGTAATTTTTAATAATCGTGTTGCGACGATTTATTACATCTTCACACCGATAAATGTATCTAAGAGGTCTTCCGCTTGTTTTTGGTCTCTAAGTACGGCCTCCTGAATATTTGTTCTTGACCCGGGTTCCGGGTTGAATCTATTAGATTTTACAAGTCTTGGCTTTCGTTCCATGTGAAGAAACTAAAATTTAACCTCGTTAAAATACCATTTTTTCCGATTTTGGCTGATATTAACGATTAGACAACGTTCGTAAGCCAACGAGCAGGATTAGTCTAGAAAATTCCAGATTTCGGCTCAAGTGCGACATTCAATTTCTTGCGAATTATATCTGAGTAGAATTAAGGCAGCTATTGTTATTTTCGTACAAAAATTTTAGAATTTTTTTTTGGGATAGGTATGTTACTTGTTTTTGTGGGTGATTGTGTCAATTGTATCCGGGCTTAGTTTAGATCCAGGGTATGAATTCTTGAAAAATCTTCGAATGCCTTCTCTCAACTTACATATCGCTGTCATTCGAATTCGAATGAAACTTGGTATGCTAGAATATTCAAGAATTGACCTCCAGCACTGAATTTAACTATGCTTGCGCATTTGGTTTTGAATGTGCGAACGTGAATAAGCGGTAACCATCCAAAATACAGGCTGGACACCAGAGATAAATACCATATAAACTGTTGCTGGACGCGAAACAGAAAAATTAAATCGAAAAAGATCGATTCCAACGCCTTCATCGTTGGAAAGAGCAGGAAGGTGTTTTCCAAATTCTTATGGTATTGCAGTTCGCTTATCTAAACCCTTGAAAAACTGCAAGAGGATAAAAAATTTCACACGTCTGTGAGATACATATCTGTAGTTTGTAGATTGCATGGGGAATCGCTAGCCTCTCGGCAATCCTACTTTCCCATCAGATATTTTTTGCATGACTCAATATCTTAGACTGTCCTAAAAATTGAGGCTTTTTCCGAAGAAAGCGAGTGGATTCCATCAGAGAGAGATGCACCCCGACGACATAAAAAAGACCGCATTTAATGTCAAGAATGGGCATTATGAATACGAATGCCTTAGGTGTCCTTAAAAACCTACAAAACCGAATAAATATGCTTTGTATATATGGATGAGATTATCGTCTACTCAACCTCCTTACACTCTTTTGGGAAGAGTTAACAGTGAGCCCTCAAGGTATTTGAGCCTTTTCCAGAATTTGGCCAGGCAGTTACAGCTGCGGACATCCCTTCGCAACTATGACTATGACAAGAGTAAATGTTCTGCGATTTCAGATGCAGATTCGAAAAATCTGCAGTTGTCGTATTTTACCTTTCCTATTGCTTTTAGGTGAAATTTCACTGCGCGGTGTCCGGTGAGCAGTCCGATGACCAATCTAATGTCATTTCTGATCTTCATGTGTAATAGATGTTCTGCTCTCTTTTGCGATGTGGTGATGAATCTTATTTTTGCCTGCCACATTTCTGGAGTTTGTCTCGAGTATTTGTTTCAGCCCTTTGCATTGCGAGGATCTGTTCTTCCTTATCCATAGAACATGATCCATAAATGTTATTGTATAAATGTCATTGTAAAAGGTGTGAAAACTTCTCCTTTTGTTTGTTGACTATAGGTATCAGTCACTTATTGCAGGAATTATATTCGTTATATCATGAAAACTTACCCGTAGTCGCCTAACAACCTGCCGGGGTTCATTCTCCAAATTGGTCAAATTTAAATTGGGTAGTGTTGTTACATGAGCTCCTAAAACGTCATTCGAATACAACAACTAAAAACTTGAACGCTGAGTAGATAAAATCACGTCGCTATGTAGAAAAAAAAGCCTATAAAAAAATCACGGGGATCGAGAAGAGTGGTCGTTGTTGGGGCGGAATGCCGAATGAGCGTGTGCTGTATGCATGCAGGACCGCGCGATGGCAGCAGCCTGATAACGAGGCCGCTTTAATTTTTAAATTGCAGTGTCCGGACGTTATTTATGAAATACGTGTTCGCTCCGCGCCCGAAGATTATCGCCATTTTCGTCGATTAAACAATAAACGTGCCCCTCATCTCTTTTAATACTCGCGGTCCTGTTTTGCATCTTAACTATCTTGACTCGAGATGCATTCCTACGTAGTACCTACTTCATAAATGACTAAAATATTTCTTCAAAATATGTATTTTTGAATCAATCAATTAATCACAGGATTTCCTGTTTTGGTTTGGGGATTTTCCTTGAATCGATTCACAAAAAAAAATGATAATCTCTTCAGGATTCAATATCCTGATAGCAATTTGTACCGGTTTTCCTAAAAACTAAGTAGATGCTAAGCTGAACCGTTCGCCATCGAGATTGTCCCAGTAGGATATACCGGGGCAACACCTAAACAAGAAATTGTCTGGTTTACTGACGGCTCCAAAACAGAAACTGGAACCGGCGCTGGAGAATATGGACAAACTCCCAGATGCGACATCAGGCAACCTCTGGGAGAATACACTACTGTATTCCAAGCAGAAATATATGCCATCGACTGCTGTCTGAGAGAAAACCTAAGGATGGGATACACAGGTAAAAACATCCCTATCTGCTCAGACAGTCAAGCGTCGATCAAAGCACTCAACAGCTTTGAAATGAAATCCAAACTTGTCTGGGAATGCTTGGAAAACCTCAAAAACCTAAATATGGCCAACAAGGTAACCCTTAAATGGGTGCCAGGGCATAAAAAAATGGAAGGAAATGAAAACGCAGATGTTCTGGCGAGAGAAGGATCGGCAACCAGTTATACTGGAAATGAACGCGTCTGTGGATGGAAAAGCGAAGAAAATTAATCCAAAATTTTCACATCAGTGGATAATAAGAGAAAACTTGTTTTCCCTATTTTGGGTTTTCCCAACTAACTGATTTTTGCTCGGCCTATTAGACGGTCAGTACTTTTACAGCAAAAGTGCTGTTTAGTGCTGAATCCTAGTCTTAGATGGCGCCACGATCAAAATAACTAATGTTCTTTATTGAGTACGAAAACCATAATGATTGAGAACCTAACAATATTCGGTCGCCTTTCTATTTAGTATTCTTATTGTGTGAAGATGTTCTATAGTGCTGTAGCTCTTTCTATAGCCTGCTTGTTCTTTAGCTTGGTAATCACCGATGAGTTTCCTTTCTGGGCTGTTGTTGATTATTATTATAATAGGCATGCAAAGAACTATTCGGCACAACAGTTGTCAAGTCAAATGAATAAATGGAATACAACACTGGTCCAAGAATGGACCCCTGTCGTACCCCAGATCGTATCTGTCTTCGTTCTGAGAGCTTAGTGATATGTGAGGCGTTGATTCGCGCCAGCTGGTAATGGCTATATAGATAATTGCGAAACCATAATATGAACAAAGTTTAAACAATTGAGCTTAGCTAAGAGAAGTTCGTGATTTATTGAATCGAAAGCCCTTGTCATGTCCAGTTGGACCTAAGCTGACCACTGTCCCACATTAAAAGCTTTAAAAATGTCGACTATTTTGAGAAGAGCAGTAGTGCAGCTATAATTTCGGTGAAATCCTTCATGTCATGTCAGTTTCGCGTGCTCATTGATCTGTTCATGAGCCACTTTTTCCACAATCCTTAATAATTTTATATAGTTTTATATGAATGATTATGGGCATATTCTATCTTCTATAGTATCAATGAAATATATTCACTCTGAGAACTACTGATAATGTTGAGAAAAAGGCAAAAATTATCAAATTTCTTGAGAAGTATTTTTTTATTTAAACATAGCAGTATCACTACTCAAGCCTGATTAATCGAAAGGTGTATCAAATTCCCGAATCGAATCGAAATATACCCGAGCTATCTTTTCTCGTCACATAAATTCTCATTTTGAACCCAGGATGATTGGATGAGATTCACTCGTTTTGCTCCGAAGAGGATAAGTAAAGGAAAGTAGTCATGCTCAGAAACCTCATTTTCAAATATATTATGTACATCACCATAAAACTCCATGAGTGCTTTAGTGTTTTATTGTCATTGTTCTTCCGCTTCACTTTTGACGTCGCGTTTTACAGATGGGTAGGTACCGTTTTGTCGAAAGGTATTCTGCCCGCGGTGGTACCATACGCTATACACCATCAACACCTTTTATTTCATTGCCTCGATAATGAGCTGCTAAACGAATCCGTCTTAAAATAATAGTGCTATAATTGAAAAAATAACGACGTTAACGTCGTAAAAACTTGACTTTTATGTTGGTAAATAAATATGCAACAATATCGAAGCGAGTGCTTCCTTTATAAAGTTTTCGATTTCATTGTGAAACGGTACTTTTTTTTTTCGTGCCAACCTAAACCCCTCTTTCACCATGAACATGGCTAGCCAATATTTTCCCTTTCAATATTGCGTCGCCACGTTTCCATCAGCCAGCATCAGAGAGCTCTGCAAAAGGGGGAAATCCCCCTTGGTGTGCCTGGGGCGTCGCCGCGTTTCGTTGGGGAAAATAACGTCGCGACGTCCGTCGGCGCAGGCTCGAGGGGTATCGAACGGGCGCTGCCTTCAGGGCGGCCGCGTTTTCCCCCCTGGGATGGATTTCTCTCTTGGCCCCGCGACATCAGTACCCCCTAAAAGCGTCTGCTGTGCCCCAGCAAAACGAAGAAATTACAGTGACGGAGCAGGATTTTTTTAGCCTAAGCAAATAATATAAATTAGTTAATTTCAGTGAAAAGTCACGAAATTAACATTGCAATCACTCTAAATTTTGGTTCGACCAAAATCAAGAGAGGGCAATAAAGGAGAATCGTAAGCAATTAACATGACCTAGAATTACAGAGAACTACTATAAATTTGAAAAAAATTCAAAACTAAATAGTGACAATATCTAGAGCAAATATAATTACAGCAATAGTGGGGTGAGATAGCTGAAAATTATACCAGAATATTTCACGTCTGGCAACCAATGCGTCGTGGATTTCGTAAACGTTATTAGATACGGAAATTGTTAAATGGGAAAATAGTTTCGCTATTCAATGACTAGCAATATGCATGCAAGAAATTTTAAACATTCTGATAACCTCCGAAGTTATTCGTGAAAAACCGAAATTTCCTGAATTTCAAAAAATTTCGTTTTTTTTTTACGAATATCTCTAGAAGTTTTCATTTTTTTAAAAAATTTGTTGGATGCATTTAGTCATTAAATACCTAGCGCAACTTTTTTCCATTTAAACATTGCTGTATCTGTTACCATTTACGAGATCCCCATGATGGACATTCTTATCTTGGACACCCTGTATATAACTGCTATTTTCTAATCAACAATTGCTGAAAATCTGCCAAAAATATTTATCTAAATGAATTTTAGCTTTATTAGGACGATGAAACTTTCATTTCCATTCCAAAATCAGTGAAATGAGCCACGCTTAAAGGGGGTGTGACCCAAAAATGAAAGTTTTAGTGCAAAAAAATCTAAGAATAAATATTTAAACCGCATGTTGCTACGATGGTCCGTTTTCGAGTTGGGGCCGTTTAAAGTTACAACTAGGCTTTTGTGACGTCTCGATGGATTATCAGGGACAGTATTAACACATGTAAAAATCTTCCAAAACAAAAGACAATTATCTCTTAGAGCAAATTGCAACCACTCAAAGTATAGGGTACGGTTTACTGACGACTAAACGAACAGAAGACAGCGATTTCGGCGGTTGTGACATCACAAATTCCTGCATAATTTATCTTCACAAGGAGTTTTCTCGGAAACTATTTTGAATATAGGACTGCGGTTTTCAAGAGAGATCTTAGAATTTCTTTCTTGATTTAAGTAGCTTTAGTCGTTTTTTTGGGTCACACCCCCTTTAAGGGATAACTATAATGTACAATATTATTTCAGTTTAATAGCCAAATATAACATCGTATTCAATGTAGTCCAAATAATGTATTCAATTCACTTGTGATTATTAATCACTCTCGGAGTACTGTCCGTCACATACATAAAATTTCGTACAAGGTATTACCATTTCAACACATTTACAAAATACAAGATGTGCATCGCTTTCGACAAGCTCAGGAGGTAAGTTATACACAGTGTTTTGACACTTTTGGAATTGTTGTCCACACAGGTTGGTGTGAAGTTAGTATCCATCCCCAGTTGGTTGGCGAAGGTATTGTGTATTGTGAATCGATGCTGTCGTTTCAGATTTTTGCTTGGAGAGCAACTCGTTTGATCTGTTGTCTTAAAGCATCTGCTGTAGGAGGAATATTTTCGATTACCCGATTCTTTCTTGTAAATAATACTAGTCAGCATTCATTGATGTTCTGAAAATCTGATGATCGATCATAAAGTAGAATAACAAAACGCTGCAACAGATTATGACATTCATGATCAATATGACAGATGCCTGCATAGAAAGGTGCCTGTACAGAGCCGCTGCCATATATACCGCGTGTGGCTAAATTCAACTGGTGTAGGCACCGTGGTGGAATGGTAGAACAAGCAGTGTTATTAAATCAAACAGGGTTTGACAAGCTATGGTTTGGCATTGGTATTAAGTGAATTTTAATCACCCCATCCGTGGCGGTGCACCATTTTGGGGAATTTAGCAACACGCGGATAATACATAATCAATTTCACGGAATGACATCCAGACCTTCCAAGCTGTCTTCTTGTCAATGCCACAAAATGTGGATACAGTATCGCAGCCAGAAACAGAATGAAAAGCCAACAAATTTCTGCAAATTTCCGGTGAGAGTGTGCCACAAATCTTATGAATTGCAATGAATTTTCTGTATTTCCCACAACCATACTCAATCCATAGTTCGTCAATATCTTGTATTTGTGGGAACAATGATATTGAAATATCCACTACATCTGAGTCCACAGTTCGAATTAAGATGCGAGTATGTCCACTTTCTACTGATGCATGTTTAACATGGAGAAGTAAGCGGCCATCTGCTTCTTCGTGTGAGGCGGGAGAAATGCTTGAAACATCCATAGTTGTTGACGTGAGGACTTAGTCATCATAAGTATAGACAACATGCTTTCCTGGATCCTCGTCTCTCACCATTTTCGTAGTGAGCAACTGAAACATTTGTGTCTTATTTCCATTAACACATAGAAATTGCCTAAATTTTTTCGGAATTCTAGTTGAGTCTGAGACTTTAATACTTATGCCACTTTCTCTACTTTCTCGGTTATCTGCCTTCAAACTGTTACTGACATATCTGTCGAATACGATATCTATTCGTGAACTATTCTTCAGTTGATTTATAAAATATGGTTTGAAAACATGGTTCATAGTATTCGGAAAATGTGCTAGCGTGTGCAGGATTAAGCATGTGTATTACCAAATATTTTAGCTGTTACATTCAGTTGGCTGGAATTAGAGCTAATGTCACATTTTGTTTGAATGCAGACAATAATATCTGACTTGTTGGTTGGTTTGCGGAGTATTCCATTATCTGAAATAGATGGTGGGTACATTTGGTTTTCTTGCGGAAAGAACTCATGTTGCCATCCCGTGCTTCAGATGCGACATACAATCTTCAGAACAAGCTGGAATCTTTTCGCAAGTTAGCAATCTTGGCCTTTGACTTATCTATTTTTTTTTTGTGATAGTCTTGAAAATGTGAATATTGGTCCGAGGAATAATTTCATGGATTCAATTTTGAACTTGATCGAGTCGGAGCGAGACATATTCATCATACTGCTTCAGTCCTAAAGTAAATGATTCCGTAACACACTTCACTGCTTCGACACTTGGAATTAGTTTGGAGCTCCCTATTGACACCAAATCGGTTTTTTCAAACGGATTTCCTTGTTCGATTAAGATATTATACATTTTTTTAACATGGGCCAAAAACTTTTCTCAAATGCATTGTTATCCTCATGATGCTTTGCGCCCACCTATTTGTCATCTTTTAAATTTGATTTCTCCTCAAATTCCTCAATTAAATAACTGATCCTAGGTCCTGTTACAATCCACTTGAGCAGAGAATTTTCACTGTCATGGATTCAATAGCGCCACCTTTACCCTTTATAAATTTGTTATTGCGTTCATGAAGCTGATCGTCAGATATTGTAGAAAACGGTCTAGCAGTTTTGCTGCTCGTAAAGTTGACACGAAGAAATTCAGCATGCATATCTGGATGTTTTTCTGAAAGTTCCTGTAGAGTGCGTACGGACACTGGCAACCAACAACGAGAATAGTGGACTGCGTCCAACGCAAATGTCCACGGACATAAATGAGCCAAAGTATCGACATACATGATAAAGTTAGATGCAATACAAGTTGCACTAGAAGGGACTCCGGTTTGAGAACTGTGTTCCGTTCCAATATTGGAACTCAGAACATTCAAATGTTTTCGACAAAATCCACAGTTCACTGCTTTCTCCACTGATGCTGGAATTTGTTTGGCATGCTTTGTTGAATGCGTTTACCAGTAGACAATGCAAGGCAGTTAAAGTACCATCGTGTGCATGCCAAGATCTTTTTACATGCGACGATGTGAGGCAGAATTCCGGAACACCAGAACTTGCAATACCAGCGGTTGTCACTGGTTCAGTCCATCCACTGCTAGTTAACCACTTGCCAAGTAAGTTAATGACCATCATTTCTGTGTGAAGGCCACCCATCATGAATATGATGCGATCGTGGCCATACTGGTCAGAAAACTTCCATTGCAGTTGCTTTCCAATTATAGCATATACTGGTTGGTCACATGTAATCACGGGAGCTTGTATTTATTTATATATTTATATTTATATTTATTTATATTATTTATATCTATTGATTTCCATTTAATTTTGCTGTAACCACTATTACGATATCCATCATATGCCATACCATTGCTGGCGTCGCGATTTCGTCATCTAGAAGTGGAAGCAATGACGCATCAAACTTTATATTTCTAAGATTCAGCACCTTTTAATTTATTTACATCCAAATTGTAGGTTATGTTTTTGGCACAACAAACCACTCTAATATTATCAATTATTAAGCACTTTTTTCTTTGAAAACAACTGAGATGATGAACAGCACCGCAAACTACACAGATTACATTTCCATTTAACGCAGTAGCCTTTTTTTTACACAACACTTGAAGAAAACATCATGAGGTTCAGTATCAACATCACCTGCCATTTTAACCTTCTAATATTGAACGTGAATGTACCATCGTCACCAAAAGTAACTGGGTCAGCACCATATTAGCTCTTGTACTATTATGTGATTTTAGGTGTCAAATATTTGTCAAATTATGAATTAAATGAATTGAAATGAATGACAGTAGACTTAGTCCAGGAGATTAATATGAATTATTTTTGTCCCAGATACTTTTGGTGACGATGGTACATCCTGTCGTATGACATCAATTAATTCGAGGAGTTTCAATATGTTAACAATGCGTAAGTCCTTTATAAGAATTATCTTTGGTAACAACTATGGTGACAATTTGACTTGACTTTTGCCTAAATCCGTCTTCGCGATTTTTGTTCTATCGAGCATATATTCCTCAACAGGACTCTGCAAAAATATTTGCGGCAGGTAATAGTATATTACATGCGGAGGTGGAAAGTGTTTCATTATTGTCGAGAGATACTATGGTTAACCGAGGTGCGAAGCGCCGAGGTTAACCAATTCTCGAGACAATATGTGAAAACTTTCCACCGAAATATGTATACTATTGTATTTTGAACCATTATTTATTGAAAAAAAAATAAGGTAATTTTTTTTTTTTTTTTTTAAAGATAAAAGTCAAAATGACATTATGTTTGCAATACAATGTAAAATTGTCAATGC